GGAGGGGATAGAGAAGGAAAACTTCAAAATAAGGGCATTATCGTACAATCCAAATAAGGAAGAAATAATGGACTCAGGAATACTGACCGTGAACCAACCCTCCTCAGAGTGCATGATAGCCCCCTGTTTCTAGTCCTAGAAAGCCTCAAGTGATAGTCTCTGGTGGCCCGACTTGTCGGCGAGATTACCTGAGATCGCGTCCCGAAATGATCGGGGACCGATGGAAGGAAAGGCCGGAGATGCCAGCGAAGAAGTCGGAAAGGAGGAGCCCAAAAGATTTCCCATCAGGGACAGTCCGATCTTGGCAACAATGGGGAGTTGACCGGATATGTCGGCCGCCGGTAAGATGACCCTGTCGGAGAAGGGGACGCGGCCTAGCAATCCGTTCAAAATTCTGGTGGAGATTCTGGTGACCTAGGGGTGGCCGACACCGGTGCCGGCGCTGAGGTCATTGCCGGAGGTGGGGCAGAGGCAGCGGACGACAGCAAGGTGGCTGAGGTGCCAGCCGGGGTTGACGCTGCAGCATGGAGATGTGGGTGTGCAAATGGCATGGGGTAGGGCATGTGGTTATCTGGTTTGAGTAAAGGGGTTAGGTTAAATGTGAGTGGGTCAAAATGGGCATTGTGTGGGCTGGGTTGGATGGCTATTGGGATGAAGGATGAGAGCTGAGGCTGGGCTGGGAGAGTGTGCCTAAAAAGGTTGGGCATTGGGAGCTGAGGGCTGGGGTTTGATGAGGGCCCGCCATCAGTAGCTAGAGGATTGGTCAGAGAGGTAGGGTTGACCGATGGGATAAGCTCCGAGCAAATCTCCAGCGACACGGAACCAAAACGTACTGGGGAGGTAGCACGAGCTCCATCAATCATAAGTAGCTCCGTCTGAGACCTCAGAAGCTCCCGAGATGCTCCACGGTCGGCGACGAGAACACTACCAGAAATCGGGCCTAGAGTCTCTGGTGAGCTTTCAACTAGCTGAGGAGAGGCCGAAGAAACCTGTCCGGTGATTGCAAGCAAGGACCTGCTGAGGTTAGGACAGTCATCTCTTGGTCGGGGCGGAAGGCAGCAGAGCCGGCGGCGGGTAAGCTACTAAGTAGCATGGCCGCTGAGGGAGCCGAGGCGGGGAGTTCCCCTTCTTCCAAGGTGGCAGCTGGGTATCTGTCTACTGAAAAGGTCAAGAAAGCTCTCTCAAAATCCTGCTAAGAAAAGAGAACGTCCAAGTCCTGCGAGGTGAGACTGGCCGGAGCTAGGTGGGTAACAGTCGAGGACACCGGCGCTGAGGGAGAGGAAGGACTCATGGGATTGGAAACGGGAAAACCAAGGGAGGAAAGACAAAGGCAGGCCTGGAGGTCACGGCGAACCGCCGCCTACGGCGGCTAGGCGGGGGAGGAGGCCGGAGAAAATAGGGTGAAAAGAAAGGAGGAAGAGGGTAAAGATTCTATAGAGAGAGAGAGAGAGAGAGAGAGAGAGAGAGAGAGAGAGAGAGAGAGAGAGAGAGAGCATTTTTTTTTTGTAATTTCAATAGTATTCATATTCAGGTAGTTTTTTTCAAAGTGTAATTTCGTGAAAGTGCCATGCATTTTGTTAGGCAAGAAATTACCTAATTTCTTGTAAGGCTTGATCTTTCAGTACGCAAGAATATATTTGTTACAAGACATACCAAATTAAATAATTGAATTGGCTTATATAGTAGTTTTGCTCTTATTTTTTATTTTCATTTAGGTGTTATATTTAAAAATTTCCCCAAATTTGAACTAGAAAAAAATCTGCTTACAGTTTATTAGTTTACCGGAGAGGAGTTTCAACCCTCTCGCGGGGTTAGACAGGGAGACCCCATCTCTCCCTACCTCTTTGTGCTGTGCATGGAAAGACTGGCTCAGATCATTAACAAAGCGGTCGAGGAGAAAGCCTGGAAGTCGATATCCGTTGGGAGGGGAGCCGTGTCCGTCCCTTTTTTAATGTTCGCCGACGACCTGCTTCTTTTTGTTGAGGCCTCGGAGGAGCAAGCAAGTGTCCTTAAGCACATCCTTGATTTCTTTTGCCACATCTCGGGCCTGAAGCTTAGCACGGCCAAGACCCAAGTCTTCTTCTCAAAGAATGTTGCTTTGGACGACCAACATCGATTGGCGGATTCTCTTGACTTCAAATGGACGGATAATATGGGTAAGTACCTCGGAGTTCTTATAATCCATGGGCGGACAAACTCAGCCACCTACTCGCACATAGTGGATAGGATGGAGGCTCGCTTAGCCGGGTGGCGGATGCGAACGCTCTCCCTCGCAGGACGGGTGACCCTCACCCAATCCGTTCTGAACTCGTTACCAAATTATACCATGCAATCTACTCTTTTGCCGAGCTCTCTTACGGAAGGGCTGGAGCGTCGTAGTCGGTCATTCGTTTGGGGCGGCTCTAACGAGGGGCGGAAAATCCACTTGGTGGCATGGCGGGAAGTGTGCAAGCCCAAAGACGAGGGAGGATTAGGTATAAAAGATTTGCGGCGCATGAACCACGCCCTATTGATGAAATTGGGATGGGGACTCCTAACGAAACGCGACTCGTTATGGGCAAGAGTTCTAATAGCTAAATACGGCATCACTCTATCGCAGGGCATGAGCTCTCCTCGATGCAAGAGCGGGTCAGGCCTAATTAAAGCTATAGGTAAAGTATGGCCGGATATCCTGAAGCAAGCTCGTTGGAGTATCGGTAATGGCAACTTGGTTCGCTTTTGGGTCGACCCTTGGCTAGGCACGGCTGGCCCGCTCATAAATTACGCCATAAAGAAGTCCAGATGAGTCAAGCCTCTATTCCACGGTAGCGAAGTTTGTTGACGAGCATGGTGACTGGAATTGGGATGCCTTCCATGGATTGCTGCCGTCGACCATTATCCTGCGCATTGCGGCCTCTCTTCCTCCGAAAGCTACAGCTGGAGAGGACCGGATCTTGTGGGGTCCATCACACGATGGGAACTTTTCTACGAGAACGGCATACCGGGCCATTGAACCACCAGCGAATGACCCGGACTGCTTGCTCTGGAAGGTGGTGTGGCGCACACCGGCACCGCAGAGGGTGCGCACTTTTTTATGGTTAGTGGCTAAGAATCGCTTGCTCACAAATCTGGAAAGAGTTAGGCGACATATCTCAAGTTCGGCAAATTGCGAGGTATGTGGTGCGGAGGAGTCAGTTTTACACGTTTTGCGAGACTGCCCGGGCACGAGGAACCTTTGGCGCCAATTGATTCCAGCAGGTGAGAGGGTCGGTTTCTTTGTCCAGCCCCTACATTCATGGCTTCTTAGTAACCTCTCGTTATTTCACATTGGCCCGTATGAAGACTGGTGTAGCCTCTTCGCCTTTACCGTGTGTAAATCGTGGTTGTGGAGAAATGACAATATTTTTAATTCCCACGTGCTATCCGGTGAAAGCAAGCGGCAGGAGATCCACTCCAACGTGGAGTCGTATGCTAGAGCGTGTGAAGCATATAAACGGGTTGGCGCAGATAGGTACGTGGTTCGTATGATTCACTGGGAACCACCCGACACTGGATAAAGGTCAATACAGATGGGACCTTTAATGGCTCCACTGGCCTAAGTGGAGCGGGTGGTCTACTTCGAGACCCACAAGGAAAATGGATAGAGAGATTTATTATGAACATCGGCGTCAACACCATTACGGGTGCTGAGCTATGGGGCATCTTACAGGGGTTACAGCTGGCTTGGGATCGAGGATTCCGTCAGGTCGTAGCGGAGGTGGATAGCCAGTGTGTGATCAAAATGATCAAGGGTGTTGGTCAGAGCTTCGGAGTCCATGACGCTATAGTCCGTGCTATTAGAGAGTTGGTGCAGAGGGATTGGCAAGTTCGAATTCAACATGTACATCGAGAGGCAAATTATGCAGCGGACTACTTGGCGGGACGCGCACCCTCATACCCGTTGGGACTACACAATCTCTCAACACCTCCTCCGGGGTTAGGAGCTTGGCTTGATCATGACTCTATCAGGGTATCCTACCCGCGTTGAGTGTTAGCCTAGTTATTTAGGCCTCTGGCCTCCTTCGTTGTACCGAAAAAAAAAAATATGTCAAAAAGGGAAGTGATACGGTTCCGTTACGGAATCATTCCGTCGTAGTTTGTAACCGTTAGATCATCTATCCCCAACAATTATAAACTCCCACGAAATTGTTCCGTAATAGAATTGTTACGTAACGAGATCGTAGCATCCGCCTTTGTCAAAACAAGGAAAATTGTTGTTTGTTGAAAATATAGATCATTAATAATCTAGTTTTAGGCTTTCGGCCTCCTTCTTTGTAAAAAAAAAAAAAATATAGATCATTATCAAGATTATCATATATGGAAATTTATATGGACGACGGTCATCTTTTTTTTTTTGGTAGTCAGCTACAGTATTCGAAACTATATCCCGAGTAATCCGTTGTTCGACCCGGGTCGCACTCCTGACAGTGGTCGGTGAGTCTCCCAACAAAAGTTTTCTGCATCTACAAAGACTCGAACTCAAGACCTTGCTTAAGCGACATCAAGCTGCTTACCACTTGAGTCAATCCCCTGTTGGTGACGACGGTCATCTTTTACACTCACTAAAAAAGTTTTTTTCTCTTTTTCAAGACAATATGAATGGTTTGGCGTAACTATCGCATAACTATCACATTTTTCCAACCCAAAAACCACGAAATGTTATGCTGAATGACTCACACTTTTACCTTTGGCACAAAGACCAGTCGAAGCACGCATGTGTGGAAACTTATGTAGACATATATTCAACATAGCACGAACGAATATGAAATTATAAACGCAAAACACACCTTCCAACATTGAACAGAGCACGAGTAGAACAAGATAAATCACAACTCGATCGGGACCACCCGATACGTAACATCATTGCCAATTTATTTATTTTTTTCTTTCACAAACGAAATCCTGCACGTTTTTTTTTTTTCAAACTTTATGAATGGAACACGTGTACGCATAATTGACACTGCATCAGAGTGTAGAATTATTCATATACTACTGTAGGAAATGCGTTTCAAGACCTTCTCCATGTCGCTCCTCGGCTTGCAAACGGCCACGAGCGGCTCGGCCTTAGGCAGAGTTGTTCCGGAACCTTCCGCCATGTCGATTTTCTCCGGGCCGGGCCTCTCCCACTCGAAGCACTGGATTAACGACCCGACGGCCAATCCCACGAACTTTTGCGCCAGTCCTGCCCCCGGGCAGGCCCTCCTCCCCATCCCAAACGGCAAAAGCTTGTGATTCTCCACCTCCAATTTCTCAAATCTTTCGGGCTTGAAGGCCAACGGGTCGTCCCACGTGGCGGGGTCCCTGTGGATTGACCATGCGTTGACCAAAACCATAGTGCCCTTGGGAACAGTGTAACCCCCGATTTCGCAGTCCCGAGACGGGGCGTGCGGGACCAGCATCGGGACGGAAGGGTACAGCCTCAGAGTCTCCATGACTACGTAGTGCAGATAGCGGAGATTGGGGAGGTCGTGTTCTTCGACCATTCGGTCAGAGCCCACGTGGGTGTCGAGCTCTTGCCTGACCTTCTCCATTACTTCCGGGTTGTTCAGTAGAAGGGTCATGACCCATTCGGTTGTTACTACGGATGCATCCGTCCCCGCAATTATCAGCGCCTGCAAAAAACAATCTCATTTAGTAATATATATAAGAGTATGGTAAAAAGATTTCAAAAATCAGTTTATATATTTTTTTTTTTGTTGGCATAGACTCACAACTATGAGGCCAGTAATAAGTTCGTCCGTGTAGTAATCGGGCTCCTTTTCCTGCATCGCTAGCAGACGGTCGACCATCGTATCTCCTCCACGTGCCCGCCTGTGTTGGTCGAGCAAACCGCGCATGAAGTCGTCCGTTTTGCGGGCATGACTCGCCAACTTCCTCTCGAGCCCATTCAAACCGAGCCAGTTCAGGATGGGGAAAATCTCTCCCGGGTTGGCCGCACTGGTCAACTCGAGGGCCTCCTTTGTCAAATCCCGGAACGTCTTGGCCTCCTCGTCATCCTCCGCCTCCTCCCCGTAGTACCTCTTCCCGGCCACCATCCTCATTATGTTGTTGAAAGTCAACTCCACGATCACGGCCTCCACGTCGACCTCGGCCGCCCGGCCTGTCCCGACGGCCCGGCGGTAAAGGCCCGAGACCATACGGTCGCGCTCGTCGGCCCGCGTCGGGAAGAACGACGCAAGTCGGGTCGTGCCGAACACTTCAAGGTCGCAGAGCCTTCGCAGGCCTCGCCAGTGGGGCCCGTACGGGGCTCCGATGACGGTGGTTGGCCCGAAGCCGAGTGAGTTGCGGTCGACGGAGGCCTCGGGCCGGGTTGCGAGGATGAGGTCGTGGCGGTCGAAGCACTCGGCCGCCAGGGCGGCGGAGGAGACGACGACGACAGGGCGGCGGCCGAAGCGGAGGGTGAAAATGGGGCCCACGTCTCGGGCGAGGTCGTGGAGGGTGCGGTGGACGAGGGTTTTGAGGAGGTGGACGTGGCCGATGAGGGGGAGGGAGCCGGGGGGGCTCGGGGGGAGGTTCGGGCCAGGCCGGGAACGTCGGCGGGCCGAGAGGAGTAGGGTTAGTAGGAATAGGAGGAGGAGGGCGAGTGAGGAGTAGATCACTTGTGTTTCCATGTTGTTTTGTTGGTTGGCTATTGGTGCAAAATTAGGGTTTTGTTTTTTTTTTTTTGCATGTGATGTGTTGGTGAGTACAAGTGCATGAGTTGGGGGATTTAAATAGGCAGTGTTATTTATTAATTAGTAACTTTGAATCTTGGGTTTGGTAGAGTTTCGTTTTGATTTTGCCGGTGAACAAAACTGTGCTTGTTGGATATTTCAACACAAGTGGGCTAATTATGTAGAGTGTAGAGAAAATTTCGTAAATAAACTAAAAAAAAAATATTTTTAAGTTGATTGTAATTTTTTTTAAAATAATATTGCATTGAATTCTTAACCTTCTGGCCCAGACAAGTTATAAAATACATTTTTATGGGGGTGTTCGTTCCCAAATTTAGCCGGCGCTCGTCTGGTGATAAGGTTGGTGGGGTAGGTCCATGTGTAATTTTGTTGACAATATTTTGATTTTACAATTTGGGCTCTTAAGTGCCTAAGTTAATTTATGAACTTTTGATAGACCTAATTTAAATAAATTGTCACATATATACATGAACATTTTAAATAAATTCTCAAATGTATATACCATGCTGTGATCAAAAGTTTATAAATTAGGACTGATTTCTTTCGTGTAATGTGGACTAGAATTATGAGACTATATGATCAATGTTAATACTTTGTATAAGTGGGAAGATAAAATGCAAAAACAAGTGGGTTTCTTGACCAAGAATAGACAGACATGTGCTATTCAAAAGGGAACACCAAAAGTCCATACTCTTGTGAGCTATATTCATACATTATTATTATTATTATTATTATTATTATTATTATTATTATTATTATTATTATTATTATTATTATTATTATTATTATTATTATTATTATTATTATTGGTACAACTACAACAAAAATATATATTATGGCGTGCTTGTTTATGAAATAATTCATTCAAAATAGGTTATTTTAGTTAACTAGATTAAATTTTGAAAAAGTGGTATGATTAGTTGTTAGTAAAATTTCAAGAATATATTTAAATAATATTTAAAATAAAATAATTAAAACTGATTTGATGTAAAAGTAGGAGATAAATTATTAGAACTAATAAGTAGTTAAAATTATGTGAATAGATGAATTGTGAATTAAAATTTATGTGATGTGTAAAAATGATAGGTTTCTATTATTTAATGATGTGGATATTAAGAATAGTGAAGTTGAGTTGAAGTTGGGTTAAATTTTAAGTATGAATAAAATGTGAGTAAATCCTCCCTATATATAATTCCCGAATGCGCTGAGCCTACGTGGCTGCTTCTGGTGCTTCGGAATTCTATTTGGCAAAGAATCATGCTTCGTAATTAGGTTTGGATAAATAATATTGATATATTAATAATTAATAATCTAGGTTCAGTTATTCCATAAATATTATTTAGATAACTTAGGTATTTAATATCACTTTTATTAATATAACCCTTTAATTCTTTGTAATTTTACATAGTGAGGCACTAAGTGACTAATATATCCCTGAATTTTGATTTGTTTCCTTCAATAAGCTATTAAATTATAATTTTATTTTAAAAGTTGATAACTTTTGTATTTTTTATCGGTTTTACATATATAATATATCAAATTAATCATCTTTTGATGATATTCGGTTTGACATCCATATTGTATATATGAAATAAATAAATTATATTATCTTTATAATAATAAAAAATAATAATATTTATTAAAATTCATTAGAAAAATAAAATTATTTCTCAATTGATATATTTATATGTAATGTAGTTATATATTGTAAGTTAAAAAAAAAGTATAATATAACACAAGTAAGTTGCACAAATAAAAAGTGTCATAATAAATATATAATAATATATGTATTCTTATAAAAGGTATTTAAATTTTCAAACTATTTTTTCTCATTAATTTTAAATTTTAAAAAAAAAATTAGCAAGCACCCGTGTAATACACGGGTGTTGTACTAATTATGTTATAAACAAGCATACCCTTAGTTCTTCAGTGTTTTAGTGCATACATCAATTATTTTATTATTCTTATTAACACCATAACCACATGTTTGACTATATTTTAATTTTAGTTCACTGTGTTGGTCATTTTCTGAAAAATGTCCATCATATATGGCGTCATCAATAATGATCCACTAAGTTGCCACTTTTATTCAAAACTCGTACAATAGCCAAAATAAGGTACTAAAAATAACGATCAATTTTAGTACACTATTTTGGTTTTTGTATGTATTTTGATTAAAGTGACAACTTAGCGGACTGTTTCTTGATGACGCCTTATACGATGAAACTTTGTAGGAAAATTGGCAACATAGTGAACCATATTTAAAATTTTGCCCCCACAAGCTTGGATGATAGAGCATTTGTTAGTGAGGGAAAAATATAAAATAGAGAACAAATAAAAACATAAATTATAACATGTAATATATACATTAAATATTCCGTTAAAATTAATTTTTTCATGTAATTTAAGTTGTAATTTGAAGATTCGAACAACGATTTTCTCAACATTTTATAGCGATTCATGTTGAAATATGCAACATCCGTCGGAATCAGTTCCATGAGCTATAATTCCAACTTAATTCTCAAAATTCAATTGGTTTTATTAATTCTTTGAAAAATAAAAAACTCATTTCAACCAATATTTTTATTGAGGTTAAAGTTTTGTAATATAGAGAAGTTGTAACATTGAAATAATAGTTGGAATTAAGTGTTAGATATACTTAGTGTAAAATTTGGTATAATACACGGGAATCCTAAGAATTGATATGTAATTTTCAGTTCTTACAAATAATTTAAAAATAGAAAATTACAATAGATCTGAAAAAATAAAATTACAACTGAAAAACGGAAAGATTTTAGCCGAGGCGAGTAAAACTCTTTCCGCAAGAAGAATACGCCCCGTGTGACAGCTAATGGTTTAGGCGTAACTTACCCAAAGATACAACGACAAACGTCTCTAAATCTGTAGCACACCAGATTTACGAGCTCCGACGAACTAGAACGGAGTCGAGAATTGAGCACTTAAAAATAAAAGGAATATCATAAAACAAATAAAAAAAACATCACTTGTTTCTTTCCTTGTGCTATTTTTATATCCAATATTGGGACATATATTTATTTTTCTTTCCTTTATCTTTTCCTTTCTTTCCTCTCTTTTTCTCTTCTTTTTCTGTGCGTATTTCTTTCTGCCCGAACACACATATTTATAGTGAGATTGGGAGTGCCAATTGCTTATTTATTAAGCTCAAGTTGGCCATTGACAACAAATTTCCATCACATAGCACGAGGAGAAGAATGGGTTTGAAAATGCCATCTAATGGCAGACAAATCAAGAAAGTATTTTGATTTTTTTTAATTACAATTTGCACTCAATTATAACAATCTCCCACATGAGTGGAAATTGAATATATGCATGTCTGCAAACTCTTGTGCTCAATCCTCACAAAACTTTATCGCATCAGAAAATGTAGCTTTTGGCTTTGAACCTTTCTTAGTAAACATCATCAGATGCACTGGCGGCCTAGTGGACATAATGCCTTGAACTATTCCTCCATAGTGTACACCAAGACAATGATATTCACACAATAGAGTCTTAACTCCATTCCGTTCTATCGTTGTGTCAGTTTTGGCCATGGACAACACAATTGATTCATAAGTGTTTACATTTGAAGCGGCCCACACTTCACACTTATATAGGTGACCTCCCTATCAAGAGTATCATGTAATACTCTACCTTTACAAGATTAGGGATCCATTAAACAGCTATATGACTTACACTCACCACAATCAACATGTAATCTTGCACTTGGAGTGCTCTAGGGAATAGCTTTGGACATTCATATGTTCCAAGTGCTCAACTGAATTTTCATAGCTTAGTTTTCCCTTTGAACCAAGTTCGTGGGATCTCCTCTCAGTATGGTAGGGTTACCACTATGATCATTCTTTACATTGTAGATTTTTAAGCCCATTCCCTCTAGCAAAACTCCCAATTGATCTCTATTCAATCATTTCGTCAAAGGATCAGCCAAATTTTCCTTAGACTTCACATAGTCAATGGAAATAATACCATTTGTGATCAATTGGCGTACGGTATTATGTCTACGACGAATATGTCTAGACTATCGTTATACAAATTGCTTTGCGCCCTACCTATAGCAGCTTGGCTATCACAGTGAATCATCACAGGCGGCAAAGTCTTATCCCAACATGGAATATTGGATAACTTTTTTTTAAGCCACTCGGCTTTACCAGCTTTATCTAAAGCGATGAACTCCGATTCCATCGTTGACCGAGCTATACACGTTTGTTTTGTGGATTTCCACGAAACTGCACCTCCTCCAATACAGAAAACATATCCGCTAGTGGAGCGAGAATCTCTCGAATATGATATCCAGCTTGCATCACAGTACCCTTCAAGTACGGCAGGATATATCGAGTATTTTAACTCATATTCAAGGGTGTACCTCAAGTACTTAAGTACCATTTTCAAAGCATTCCAGTGCTCATGACTGGGATTACTCGTAAATATGCTCAACATATTCACCGGATAGGCCAAGTCTAGTTGTGTACAATTTGTCAAGTAAATCAGACTCCCTATTATCCGTGAATATTCCAACTGAGCCACTGGTTGACCTTTATTGACCACCAGATTTATACTAAGATCAAGGGGTGTCTTACACATATACCTAGACTGTGCACCGTCATAGGTATCAAATTTCTTGAGCACTTTCTCTACATAATGAGATTGTGACAAGACAATTTTATCTTGGGTTCTGATAATCCTTATTCCAAGAATAACATCAACCAAACCCATATCTTTCATGTCGAAATTTCTTTTCAACATTCTTTTTGTATCCATGATCACTTCATGGCTACTCCCCATGATCAACATATCGTCTACATATAGACATACAATTACAAATGTATTTGATGTACCCTTGACATAAACACATTTGTCACATTCGTTGATTTTGAAATCATGTGATAACATCACGTCAT